TTAGGGCCCTAGTTGAGATTCTCCCGAGTTATAATTGGATGTTGTGGTAGTTAGCCCTTCTCCATCAGTTTTTGTGTATTTCCTTGATTTTTCTATTTGTATTTCCAAGCTACAAGTATATGTAAAGGAGAAGACGATCGTGAGAATTGCATTTGCCTTACTTTTCCAAAGTAATTGAGGAATGGGCACCCTTGATTAATGTTCAACTATTCATATAGATGGATGAGATACATGGGTCGTTTTCCATGTATTTATATTTTCTCGAAGGATTAAGAGATTGTTTTCACATAAAAGTGATAATGAAGTTCGTCTTTACTAAAGAAAGACAATTTGAGTGCTTCACGTCTACTTGACATTTCAAATCATTGGAGGATAAAATTGAGCGGACGATAGTTCCATTTAACTACGAGACTTGCATGAATTAAATCAGTTAATCCTATCAAAAAACTTTATCATGAATGTATGGCTTCAAGTTGCAGCTTTCTCAGATTGAAGCTTCCTCATCAAGGACCCACCAAAGGATGGGATTCCCGACCGCTGGCATCTATTTGACTATTTCACTTCGTCACTGATTGATGTCTTTTGCATTACATTTTGCTTCCCTCCTCCTCTATCTCAGACTGCTCGTCGATGCAGGAGTTACATAGCTCACGTTTCCTTTACTTCTACATATGTAAGTCCCCCTTTCGTTTATCATTGAATATTAACTCGATCGATTGTGGAGTTAATTATAATATAATCAACAAATTATTAAAATTACCATATAAGATTATATTTCTTGAATTATATGGGGCACCCATTAGCTGAACATTGCGCGCTGACTGCTGAGTGTTTAAATTTAGTGTGCAGCACATATGTCATGCACGCATGTATGTTGCAAAAATTAGTACACCCTAGCTATGGCGGCCACAGGATATAATACATGCATGAATGCATAAAAGATTTCTTAAAGCCGAAGAAACGTGGAAATGGATGATGATTTGCCATTCACTGCCTGATGGGTACTCCTACCCACTTACAAAAGGGGGAGAAAAAAAGCAAACTACTTCATGTGTCGTGGGATCTCTGCGACGACCCAAAAAAGGAGGCCTGGATCCACAGGAAAAAGTAAAGCACGAGTGGACAAAAGAGACACGTTAATCTATTAGGCGTCCTCGAATTGGAGCATCGATTAAAGTTAAGAGAAAGCTAGAAGTTTTTTTTTTTTTTGGGGATAAAATTGGGGTAAAAGAAAACTAGACAACAGCACTAATGGCCTGTACCAATATTATTTCTTAAGCAAGGGGAGGGGAGGATAAATGATGAAACCCAGCAATGTAGGAAAGGGCTATATCTTGACAAACATATCAGCATATTATTAGCATCTTGAAATTCTTTTACTGTGCACCACCTGCTCTCGAGCCAATAGTGCTCCAATTTCAACAGTGGGTCCAGCATTTGGGTGATTTAGGGGCGAGCCATCGATGACTTTCCCTAAATCAGATTTTAGGATAATTTTCCTAAGGCCAAGATCCCAAATTAATTTAAAACCCCATATGCAAGCCCACAGTTCAGCACAGAACGAATCACCAACATTTTTCTTGTAAAGAAAACCAACTCTAAATGTTGCTTCAGAGTCACTAATCAACCCACCACATCCGTGATATTCGTGATATAAAAAGATATTCGTAATAGCATTGGATCGACTTAGCATCTCATGCACGTGGATATCACAAGCCTCGCTGCTCTGCTCCGCACTTGAATTTATTGGTGCTGAATGCTGTCCTGACTATAAAAAGTAAAGCAATTAATGGAGAACAAACGCCAATATATGATAGATATATTTAACATATTTTAATTAGCTTGTCACCATGTTTCAATTATTGTTACTCTATTAGCCTTCTTCCTTTTCTAATTAATTATTTCCACCCGTCGCAATCCCTTAACTAGGTTCATGATATTATATTCTTAAAAGGATTTTTTATTCATATTTTTGATGTGCTCACTCAAATTTAATTATAATCATGTTTGTATAATACGAAAATTAAGCACAACCCCCTTATAATCGCTCCGTAGCATGATAATGTTTAGCCTATAGCCAGTATGCGCTTGTTTTTATTAATGGCTACATTTTATAATAATTGTGACCCTTATATATCATAGCCAATTAATCAATAACATATAGTATTTAAGTAGAATTAATACGATTTTTTTGTGTTAATGGCTACATTTGGCCAAAAAAAAAGTAGCATTAATACGATAATCGTGTTCTTGTGCCTGAAATGGTTATTCTCCGTACCTGAAACTCCTTTTTTCCTTGCCACCACGTAATCGTAAGAATCATAAATCAAATTTAATCTTTGATAACTTCTAAAATTTCACATCATTTAAATATATTCTCCTTTGTTTTACAATATATTTTCTCTTAATTGTATATATTTTGATTGTTTAAATTAAGAAAATGTGTATCTTACTTTGGGCTTATACATTTGGTTTTTAATTCAATACTTTTAGACTAATTTTATGTTATTTATGTTATTTTAATTTAAGATTTTATTAGAAATATTTCTGGACCTTTGGTGATGCTTTTGGCTAATTTTGAGTTTCATTAATTGTAAAAATAGTGTAAAATTATCAAATTCATCACTAAAGTCGTGACTTTTGCCAACAAAATGTTCTATTTTATTTATCTAAAAATATTTGAATAGGATATATATATGCTACATGCTTGACTTAGACTGAATTATACACACTTTGAGACACATTTAGAGCTTAGTATTGTTAGGGTTTGGGCATTGGAAGACTTGAAACCAAAAAATTGAAGCTTTGAAAACATTCAAAGTTTATTTTCTTTAATTTTTCTATTCTTTTTCTCTTTCCTCTCTCATAATCTAAAATTGGTTTGAATATTTTATGTATTTAAATACTTTGTTCTATGATTGTTGGGAACCACTGTATGGATTAATACCAAATTCCTCCTCTCTTTTTGTGATTAATAATATATTGGTGTTTATTTTACTCTTTTTTTAATGTTTCTAAGTGTTTGACCAATATTTAGATGTTAGATTCACTTGGGTGATACTTAAAAAAGCTAGCTTGGGTGTAGAACTTAGATAAAATAGTACAAAAACTATAAGTTTATTGTTGAATGGATGATTTTGTTAGTAAGATAGATATATATTTGCTAACTTTAGATAGCCACATTAGAGTTGGAGCTTAAAATTAAATTTTGTTAATTGTAATAAGAGATTGGACTATTAATTTAACTAAATAATTATTTATAATTTCAGAGGGCTTGTTTAAGTATTTTTAGAATTTTAGGTTAGCACTTATCTTCATTAAAAACATTTAAAAGAGAATATATTTTTAGTATTATGAGATGCAAGGGGGTAAATAATCTTAGGTCTCAATTTGTACTTAAAGTTTGTGAACTACTCTCTTTTCTTTCTTTTCTAGTTTTATTATAATTTACAAAATTAACTTTCTCCTATAATTATTTTTGGCTCAACTTGATTGAATTTGTTAAGTCTTTTACTTGATTATTATTTTTAAATAGATATTTGTAGGTATGATATATTTCACTCACACTTTTTACTTATTAGTTATTATAGTTCGTGCACTTGTGGAGAGCACAACGAACTCAGTTTCTTGGCCAAAACAAATTTATTTTTTAATCAATTATATGGTTACCCAACTAGTTTATAAATTTTAGATGTCAAACGGATCCGAATCTATGGAATAAACTAAGATGGGTGAAATAAAGCTTTGAAAGAAGATATTAATATCGCGGTTATAAAATTTTTCCAAATAACATACAATATTATTTGTATTCATTTAAGTTAATTAGTGTACATTCTTTCATATTATAACATTTACTGACAATAAATTTATGTTAATATTTTTAAAAATCTCTATTTCAATTTAAGTAATATATATAATATAATTTGCAAGAAATAAATTTATAAAAAATCAAATTTACAAAATATCTCCCTTTTAATTCAGATGTTTATTCTTCCATTCATATTTACAAGTTACTTCATGCATGATTTATTGAAATAAATAAAATTTTAAAACTTATTAACTGTATTTAAAAATTTAAAAAGCTTTCAAACCTTATTTTTATTAAATATACGTTAACTTATTTTCTTTCATCAAGATTTACAAGAATAAAAAAATTGCAATAAAAATTTAATAATATAATTTATTAATAAAAAAATTATTTTCTCTCCCTCCTATAAATAAGTTTGGAGGAGTAGATTCAACATTTATTCTGTTATTCTGAGCTAACTCGGATTGCCATTAATTAATCTGGGATCGCATAGCTTGCAAGTGTGCCAAGCCCAAGCGTTTATGAATGGGGGACGTTTTTCCGCGTAAATTATTCGAGAACTTGGGGGACACATGATTTTAAATTTGTCCAGACAGTAGTGGTCATAAAAATTTACGTCACTCCCTTAAAACACATTTTTAATTGTCACATACATACGTAATTAATAATTAATAATATTATAACAGATGTGGGAGAATGTCAATAGGTTCCGTACCATTGGCGATCGACCAAATTCTTTAATTACGTGAGCCGATTCCACCGCCGGCCATCGATTTGACAGCAACTTTCCTACATAAATCCGGCGTCTGAATACAAGCATTAAAAATATCTAATAATTAACAAAAAAAAAATATAACAAATTATATATACATCATCAGTTACAATTCAAAAATAATGTAAATTTACTTTTCTTGGGTCGATGTGTAGGATTTATACCAGTTATAGTTAATAAAATTAGCTTAAAAAATGTTGTATTCTTGAAAAGAATTGATTAACTAGCTAGTTTTCTTGCGGGCAAGGGGGAAAAGGGGTATCTACAGCTGTTTTTTGCTCACACTCTTTTTGCGTCTGTCTTCCCTGCATGGGAGCCACCGTGCTTTCTTTAATGACCCAATTTACAGACCAACGCCGCAGAAAAGAAGCTTATGGGTTAAGAAACTCCGTCCCACTAAAAACCCTAAAAATATAGTAAAACAAAAAGTCAGATGAATGAGAGAATAAGAGCAAAGCAAAAACAAGAGCCTCTTCTTGCTTTCTTCCCTCTTCCTTCCTGACCTCCTTCTCTCTCTTTAATGATCCTTTTTCGCCCCTTCCTTTCTCGTCTCCTGTATTCCCTCAGCGTGATTCTCCACCATCTCCAAAGACCCGTCCAACTTTATAAAAGAAAATAACATTAAAAGATAACGGACACCATGGTTTTCTCTTCTATTCCAGTCTATTTAGATCCTCCCAATTGGCAGCAGGTAAGGTTTTCCTCCAATTTCAGCCACAGCTTAAACAAAAGCAAGTTACAAAAGATTTTTATTCCTATTCCCTGTAACATCTTCTTGAATATACCAGATTTCTATGTTTTCATTTATATATATATAGTTCATACTTAGCTTCCTACCTCAACTATATATTTTGCCGGGATTATTGATCTGTGCTTTGCAGCAACAAGATTATCATCAAACAAATGAGACAAGCGAGCTTCCACCCCTGCCTCCACAAGCCCCTCATATGGGCTCAATCAGGCCTGGATCGATGGCTGATAGAGCCCGGCTAGCCAAGATACCGCCACCGGAGGCAGCTCTGAAGTGTCCTCGCTGCGAATCTACCAACACAAAATTCTGCTACTTCAACAACTACAGCCTGTCTCAGCCTAGGCACTTCTGCAAGACCTGTCGGCGTTACTGGACAAGAGGCGGCGCTCTCAGGAACGTTCCGGTGGGCGGAGGATGCCGCAGAAACAAGAAGACCAAGGGAAGCCGCTCCAAGTCTCCTGCAGTCTCCGACAAACAGCCACTGTCGTCCGATCCCTCGGGCGGGGCCGCAGCCTCCGAGCTGATCGGTCAATTGCCGCCCCACGCATCTAATTTACCTTTCATGGCTTCGTTACAGAATCTGAGCCGCTGTGGCGTGGGAAGCATGGGCCTCAACTTGCAAGGGCAGAGCGATCACCACATTTTTCCCATAGGACTTAATGGAAGTAATATTTCAAGCGTAGGAGTGGACCAGTGGCGGCTACAGCAGTTTCCTTTCTTGAATGGTTTTGATCAGTCAAGTTCAGCTGCAAACCCATTCCAAAGCCAAGTTGGGGGTTCTAGGGTTACACAGCTGCCTCCAGTTAAATTGGAAGACAGTGGAGCCTTAAACTTGTCTAGGTCACAAGCTCCGAGCACGTCGGAAAATAACAACCAATACTATTCATGGACTCCTACCACAGATAATATATCTGGTCTTGCCTCCTCTTCCACGACCCATGTCTTGTAACTTCCACATCAATTAATTATTGCACCACCATGTTTAATGCATTGGAGAAATTCAAGTTCCCAGATGATGTACATGCTCCACCAAACTTCCTAGGTCTGTTCCCAGATATGGTCAGAATTCGACACACACACACACACACACACACGCACACGTCTTGTTGCCTTTGTTTATGTTCCGGATCGTGTCTCGTGTACTATACGGGCTTGATTTGTTTAACTGTGTGTGCCTGTACGATGTAATGTTTTCTGTTTGCTATCTGGCGTTATGACCTCGCCTGAATACAGAATCTTCCGATCGAGGTTACCTTGGTATCCATTTCTAGCTAGACATGCCCCACACGTGCTGCTTCGCCTGCATTTGTCGCCCACAGGTGACACGTCCTTCGGTACAGAATAGAAAACTGATACTGATAATAAAGAATGTGCCCCTCCTCGTTAGCTTTATGCCAGGCAGTGTATCTCGGGATAGTTGTTGGGACTTTAAGATTTAGTAAGTTTATGATATATATTTATTTATCCAGTTAATCTTTACATCTTCTATATACAAGTTCATACTCCTCATGCAAAGCCCTATGCTTGGTTTGAATATGATCTGTATAATTAAACATCTAACACTAGTTGGATATTTCGAGGCAGATTGTTACTTTCATGGCTCATTAATATCAATACCAGGTAATGCAAGACCCTTTTAAATTTACCGCTCTCTCGAATTTTTCATTCCCAATATAATCTCACATCCTTCGCTCTTAATACTGCACAGCCTTTTGCTGAAAACGAAAGAGACTTTGCAGTTTGCACTTTTCATGAAGGCGGTATTCTCCGAAACTTGAGTGTGAGAGTCATATAATTAATGCTCCCACGCGCCTTTAATTGTCTTTATAATGATGGCAAGATTTGGATATGGAGATCATACGTAGCGTTGAACTTTTTGAATTATACTACTAATGCTAATCGAATCACATTTTTAATTTTTTTTACATATTTTTGATAGACTTGTAATTATAATTGTGTAATATTACAGAGTTTAAGCTTTTTATTCCAGATTTTTTAAAATCCACAGTGTATATTTAATAATTATACAGACGAATTGCAAAAAAGAAAATCCAAGAAATTAAAGAAACAAGGCTTTTAATGTCCGTATATAATCAAATCAATGGATGGATCCCTTTCTGATTTATTTTCCACCTGCCGGAACTACACCTAGCTAGAACCATAGAAGGACGTACGTAGCAGCGTCAAGCTAAGAGTCAAGGAGAGGAAAGAGGGAGGATGTAAAAGAATGGTGTGTTCTTTACTTATGGTCGAGAGATCTATCAAGAATTATGAAGTTGCAATCATCAGGGCAGATTTCATGTGAGAGATGGGACGTACTTGTTTGTTTGATTCGAGGTTGAAAGTGGAAGACATCACACATTCAAATGGAACCATTCGAGGAAGACGCCAAAATCCCACTCAAAACCATGCAACCAAGCCTGAGTGGGCAAGTATTCTAGAACTTCCCAGGCACGGCGGTGCAAACTGCAAAAATACAAACGCCTACCTCTCCAATAAATGAATCGACAAATCATATTATATTTTGCCCTCAAGATTTCAAAAGAAGAGAAAAAGATTCTACGGTCAAAGCAAGCCCGAGACCTTACAAATTCACGCTTGCCCGCACTCTCTCGTCCAGTCTCCCCCGATCAAGTGTCTCGCGTATATATCCTTGGGTTTACAAACTCATCAATGGGTTATATATTAATATTCTAATCCCCCGGGAATAATGAATGGATAAAATAAAAAAGAATAGGAAAAGGCAGCGATGAGAGGATAACTTTTGCAGGGACCAGTGCTGCTTTCAAGAACGAATAAAGCAACAAAACCAGAAGAGACCAACGCAGATAAAAGCCCCCTCTATGTCCGTGTGTCGCAAGCTTGTCTTAGAGTCACGTAGGGATAAAATGTGGTTTCATGTGATTCCAAAAATGTCCGTGTCAGCGCGTTCTCCCCACTCCCTTTTTTCATAAAATATTACTATTAGTCTATTATCACTGTAAATTACTTTAAAATTTATAACAGCATTAAAAAATCAAGAGTCTAGTGCGTTGTTAAAAAAAATTAAAATATAGAATTTATTGAAATGGTTGTTTGAGGCCCCGTTTGTTTGACCGAGAGCATCAAATTTACTGAGTTCTCTTTCATTTTCGTCTCCTGAGGTTCATTTATAACGAACCAAACGAGAACTCCTAGTGTAGCGTGTGGAACATGACAAGAAAGACGGAAACTGTAAATTCAAAATGAAAAAGGAAGAGGGGCGTGCAAGTAAAATTTGCAGGATTGGTGGCATAGAGAAGGGGGGGGGGAATCAAAGGGGCGCAGAAATTGATGCAGAGCAAATGAGGTGCACGTGGCGAATCGTAGACCGTTGGATGGATGGTCCGAAAGCAAAAGGTTATTGCTTTTCCTATTCCCTCCTTCGGTTCCCTCCCTGCCTCTTGTCATTCTTTTTCTCCTTCGTCTTCTTCTACTTAAGTTGTAGCCTTTTTCTTTTTAACAGATACGTGGGAGTGGACCCCCTCGTCAATGTGTGCCCTCCGGCCTCAACTGTTAATTTGCACGCTCGCGCTCAGTCCTCTGTATCATCCTCATAATTGGTAAGGAACAGTCTCAAAATCGAATCGATGCCAGTGGTACGCTCCCAATCATTTTACAATCCAGGTTATATACTCTTGTGCCTCGATTAACATGACCAGTTCTTAAACTTGATCTCTTGATCGATCCATCTATATGATCTATCACAGCGTTCTTTAACTTGCCAGCTTCAATGCCTTCTTCACATGCCACAAAAGCAGACACTTCATGTGCTGTTCTCAAAAACCCTTCACATGTTGGCATGGGAGCTCTGTCCCGTGCGTCAGGCTGAACATGGGCCGATTGCAATTCGGTTTGACATGAATCTGAAGCCCAATGCTGAAATCCTTTCCGTTTTGAATCGAAGGCCCGGTCCAACCAGCTGCAATTCTACACATGGCGGGTCTGCAATATTAGCATGAGTCAGGCCGATTCAACCTGGACAGTCTCTTTTCTATTGGAACATAATTTATTCCAGGTTTTTTTTTCCAACAATTTTTATTCCAGTTTGAAACGAGAAAAAAATCTGAAGCGTTGAAAAGTGACCAGTCTAAGTATAGCAATTACAATATCTGTATGCAATTTGGTTTATATATATTTACATTTAAATTATTTATATTGGGGGGGGGGGGAGAGAGTAAACGTGGAGGATGTATGATCAAGATTCAAGTCTCCCTTTTTACCGACGCCATGAGGAAAACCTCTCAATCCCTCCCCGTACATCCACACACGCACTATTCTACTGCATACTTACTCTTTATATTAGACATATAGCATAAATGTGTGTACACAAAATTAGGCGCGCATGTATATGCATGTAGAATGGTAAACCGTTGGATAGGTGGAATAAAAAATTAAAAAGTCAATAATAATTTCTAGTCTTGGGGTAGCAAGAGCATCACTGCTTGATTATGATTCGTTTGTCTCGTGATGAGTGAGGATTTAAAAAAAAAAATTCAGGATGAAATATCACTATTGTCGCCTTGGAAAAGGAGTTGAAGGAAGGTCATGAGCACTGGGACATCAATTCTTAATTTAAAGCTTTAAAAATTAAATTGATGATTTTATTTTATTATAAAGTTTATATTAAATTCAATTTCATTGGATCTGGAATTTTTGACATTAAGTAAGCGCACTTACCTTAACATTCTAAATACGGTTCACCGAAGAACTTCCCTGCACCATGTCTCCCAATCCCATTCTTCTCGCCTTAAAGTAATTCTCTCAGCAGCTTAACCTAGCCCAATGGCTTCTTCTTGATCGGCTCAGTGGAAAATATGTCCCCGAGTTGATTCAGATTATTGGTTTTCCGCGATGCTTCCATTGCTGGGGATTTATTAGGTTTCTAAATGTTAGAGACAAGAGGGTGAGCAATGCCACGGCACTTGTTTGGGTGCAGTCTGTCATGAACCCAACCCAGGCAAGGCCCAAATGACGACGCATGCACAGTACACGTGCCACGAGAGCTACATTGCAGCAAGAGAGAGAGAAAGGGGAAGAAAATGTGAAAACTGTGCGAATTGGAGGACGATGCATGATTATAATAAGGATAGAAACCGTTAGTAGTGGGGTGTGGAATGATTTGGCAATCTTCTCTCTTGTGGACTCTGCCCCCCTCGTTGCTTCTGAATTTCTGTTGCTTTTCCATTGCCTGCGTTCTTGTAAAATTTCTGGGAATACTTGTTGATATTTATTTCTTTTTGAACTTTATCAGTCATTAGAGGACTCGATATAGCAGAAATAATACCATTTCCCAGAGTTATTCATTTACTCTGGGAAATGGTATTATTATATATTTAAAATACGGCAATTTTAAAAAATTTTAGAGTACGGGTACAACTATATAAATAATTAAATATTAAATATTTAGAAACACATATACTTTCAATACAATAAACAATAAACGTAATTAAATATTAAATATTTAGAAGCACATATTTTTAATATAACAAACAGTTAAGCAATTAAGCAAAATATCAAATGACATAGGATAATGATTCTCAAGTTCTTCATTAATAGTAAAGTTAAAAGAAATAAACCATCCAAGTGAAAAAAAAATTATTTTAGTGGCAGGGTTAACTTATGTAATTATGAATATAAAAAGCCAAATTGCAATATTTTCTTGTCTGTGTATTTCAAAAGTAATTTTTCCAGCTCCTACTTTCCTTTATTAATATAAAAAAGAAGCTTTAAAGCACAATTGTGCCTAAAGACAGGCAGATAGCAATAGAACGTAAGATGTGAACAGAGGTGGGCAATTTTAGAATAGAAGAATTGACTAGAGAAGAAGCACTAGAGAAGAATTTATGTCGAAGGCTGGAGAAGATAGCACTAGAGAAGAACTAAACAGAAGAGTGAGAGGACCAATTTCTAATATGAGGAGGCAGGAGAAGACAAAGCTAGAGAAAAAGCAATGAAATACAAAGGTGAAGCCGAAGAAGACGCTAAAACTATGACTGAGTAGTGTCGGACTGATGATGCAATGACAATTGCGAGTCAAAAAGATAGAGCAATGCCCACATGCAATATATTTTACAGAATGAAAGGGGAAAGGATGGACTGAACGAAGCATATAGGGCTTTTGATTTTGAGAAAAAATTAAAAAAAAGACCAAAATGCAAAATTTCATGTCCAACTCGTGTCTACCCAAACCTTCCCGTTTCAACCTGTGTCCAATAAAAGATGAAAAAGTGGACACGCCGCATCCACATCCTAAATGTGTATCCTTGTTAGATGCATATCCAACACGTTGTCCGTGCTTTAGAGGAAGTGCTTATTCAAGGTCAAGCAATTTTTTAAATACTATGAAATGACAAACTAGCAAAAGCTTGTCATAGCTTCAATGCATTTGGATTGCAATGTTCTACTATGGTACTAGATGTTAGAAAAGGCTAAATGTGTTTCGACTTGGGCATCCTTAGCGAATGCCATTAAAGATCAATATGGCCCTTACAAGTTCGATTGCGCAAGAGTCTAGCTATTTAAACTGACCCAACAAGGGTCGTTAGAGGATTATAATGCCAAGCTCACGACATTAGCAAACAGAACAAAAGATGTGAATGAGTAAGTACTGCTAGACTATTACATTAGGGGACTTAAGCCCGAGCTCCATCATGACATTCTAGTTCAATGACCATAGTCTTGAAGGTGATGACATTAGCCCAATTATTTTTAGAGATTATAGTGTACGGAGTTTCGATGCCAAAAGGCCGAACAACAACAAGAAGTAGAGGTATATATAATGCTGAAAAAGCCATCGTTCCATTTAATAGTAGAGTGACTTCGTTTAATCAAAGTAGAGGGGGTAAGACTAACTTGCCTCCATTATTACCCACTCCAAAAACTCCTCCTATCAAGAGAATAACGCCAACTGAGAAGCAAATAAGGAAAGAGAACAGCTTGTGCTTTACCTGTGACAATAAGTTTTCACCTACCTATAAATGCCTAGACAAACAAATGGTGATATTGATAGGTGAAGAAGATGAGGAGCAAAATAGGATCACTGAAACAATAGGAAACATAGTGGAAGAGGTTCCTATGCCTGAGGCTACTATTCATTATCTGTCCTTACATGCATTACAAGGGACACAAGGGGCAGCTACTATAAGGTTCTCAGGCACAATTTATAGGACTGAGATGCAAATTCTTTTAGATAGCGATAGTTTGGACGATTTAATACATCCCAAGATTGTGTAGCATTTAGGAATTCCAATTGAAAACACATCGGATATTCATGTGTTGGGGGCACCAAACAAGTGATGACAAATACATGTATGGTTAGGGATCTTCTAGTAAAAATCTATGATTATTCTTTACCATTAACTCTATCTGTACTACCTGTAGCAAGGGGTCATAAGCGCTGATTAGTTAGAGATGTTAGGGCCCCATGTGGCCGATTATAGCACTTCCACGATAAACTTTGTGGAAGATGGATGATTTATTACATTAAAAGGATTTTGAGGACCACCCCTAGCATAAGCCCAATTCCATCATTTAGTACAACTCAATCAAGTGGATTCCATTGCAGACTTATTCATAGTAAAAATAACAAAAGAGAGTCACTCCATAAACGGAATGGAAGTCAAAGATATGAAACTCGCATCCATTTTAAGGAAACACAAAATTGTTTTTTAGGTACCCCAAAGCTTAGTCAAAAAAATTAAAATTAAAAAGATGGTGATGGAATTACTTAGTGATGGATTGATTCAACTGAGCTCCAATCTGTTCTTAGCTCTAGTCATCTTGGTAAAGAAGAAAGACGGGACTTGGTGCTTTTATGTTGACTGTTGAGGACTAAACGCACTGACCGCAAAAGATGTGTTTCCTATGCTGATAGTAGACGAGTTAATTGATGAGCTTTATGGCTCTATATTTTATTCTAAGTTAGATCTCAGATTAGGCTACCACCAGATTCTAGCGAGGGAGGCTGTCAGAGAAAAGACTGCTTTTAGGACTCACCAAGGTCTATATGAATGGCTAGTAATGCCCCTCGGGCTCGCAAATGCCCCAGCAACATTTCAAACTCTCATGAACACTAATTTTTGACTATATCTCAGATGTTTTGTTCTAATATTTTTGATGATATACTCATTTATAGCATCATATGGGATTTGCACTTACAACATCTCGATATGGTTTGATGTTATTAGAAAAACACCAACTGTTTGCAAAAGGGGCCAAATGTGTTTTTGGTCAAAGGATGATAGACTATTTGGGCCACACAATTTCAGCTTATGGAATCGAGATGGATCAGGCTAAGGTAGTCGCCATTCAAAATTAGCCCACTCCTACAAATGTTACACAGCTGTAGGACTTTTTAGGACTTACTGAATATTACAAGCAATTTGTTAAGAGTTATGCCTAATTGGCTGGTCCATTAACCAAGTTGTTAGATAAAGATGCCTTTAAATGGATCGCTTCGGCCTAAGAAGCGTTTGGATCTTTGAAAGATGCTCTAAGTTGAGCTCCTGTACTTACTCTACCAAATTTCATCAAACCTTTTGTCCTTGAAACCGATGCATTCGAGGTTGGTATTAGTGCTATTCTCAGTCAAGATAGGCATCCAACAGCCTTCTTCTCTAAGAAACTCTCTCCTCGCATGCCAAAACAGAGGTTGTCTTAGAGTTTTGATGTTATCTTTTTAAGCATTTCTTCACAATCCGAATGGAGGGAAATTTTATGCTTTCTTTTTAGTTGCCTTTTATTATTTTCTATATTTTTATATCGTTTTTTTTGAAAAATGAAGGGAAATGGAGGGAGGGGAATTGAAAACACCTTATGCCCCCCTCCCCACACACAAAATATATATATATATATATATATCAGACATCGCGACGTACTTGCTTTCATTTAGATCCAACTCTCTCTCTGCATACACACCCATATCTAACTCACCGGGTTCAGTTTTTATGTTCATTTCAAAGATGAGCACCATGAGCTCATTCTTATAATAAAATCTGAGCCATTCAATTTTTAATTTAGATGATTCAGATTTAATATATTGTTATATATTATATTTATTAAAATAAAAATTTTAAAAAATTATAAAATAATTTTAATAAATTTTTTATTTTTAATTTGATCTAGATTTAATTTAGTGGGTTCATTTTAATATTTAAATTTTTATAATTAATATATATTAATTATTCAAATGTACCTTGCACAGTCTTAAACTGTATAGAAAAAATTTGAATAAATAATATATATTAATTATAAAAATTTTAATATTAAATTAAACTCTTTAAATTAAATTTAAAGTAGATTAAAAATAAAAAATTTATTAAAATTATTTTATAATTTTTATAAATTTTTATTTTAATAAATATAGCATATAATAATATAATAATACTTTAAATGTGAATCATTTAAATTAAAAATTTAAATAATTTAAATCTCATTTCAAGGACGATTACATCCTTGGGATGAGTGGGGAAGTTAATTCCCTAACTCACCACATCTCTATCATTCCCGTGCCAATGAACTTAAATACTTGCTCTCAAATAAATATGCATGCCCAAAGAACTTGAACATATCGAAGGAAGAGACCAGCAGCGTATTAGAGAAAAGAGAACCGCGTCTATAATTTTTGGGAAAGCCATTTCAAGAGCAAGATTCTACAATCCGTCGAGGTCAGTAATAATAATGATATTAAAAATGATAAATAAAGATCAACCACATTACTCGCGCCTCATTGGGTGCCATTCCCTCGTCTGACTTTCTTAATCTTACCGTAAAGATCCAGCAGCAATGGCGCCGGAAACAAAGATTCAATCTCTCTGGACAGATCGAGAAAATTTCCTGCGCCGCTTGATTTTCTCTTCCCGGACGGAATTGATCTGGGCTTCTTTGGAGCAGGCGGGCATCGCAGGCTCGACGGGATTTTGTGATCTGAAGATGTTGGAGTCTTGCACCCGCGGCTTGATTCATCGAGGTCTCTCTGGGCCTCGGAATTGTAGGATCGAATGTTGAGATTCAAGTTAGCTGCGGAAACAATATTGAGGGGCCGGTCTCGATCATTGTCGCCTTCCCGGTGAGTTCCTTGCACTGGATGGTCGAGACAAAGCTCGCCATCCTCTCTGGTCGAAGCACTCTGCTGCTCCATTTGATCGAGGAAGTCCACGGTGGGCCTTACCAACAAATTGAACTCCATTTCATCAAGAAAAAGCATCAGGTCCAACGAGACTAGAATTTGGATAGCTCGGAGAAATTAATTAGAGAGGCAGAAAGAGGAAGAGGATGGAAATGAAACATGAGAGGGAATTTGTCAACCTTGTTTTTAGGGGACGACAATCTCGAATGGGCGTGCTTATGACTACGAGTTAGTTACTGCGAGAGAGAGGGAACGAAAGTCGGTCTGGGCGAAGGATCCGATGCGTTTAAGTAACAATAAAACGGGGACGAAGCAATGGGAATTTTGATGGCATCCCCCACTCCCAGATTTACCCCATTAAATATACTCCTCATGCAATTATGCATGCCATCAGTACTATGACGTAACTTTCCATCCCCACTCGCCATCTCAAATGTGATTACCATCTGCCATCATTTTGTTACTCATGTATGCACATACGCACACTGTATATATATATATATATATATATATAGCATTTCGGAGTTTGTATTAACGTTTTTGTCATTACGGCCACTAAGTACTAAATTCTTTTGTGTGCGCAATTAATTTCTTATTCCTCACCATTTTGTTCCATATTATAAGATTTTAACATGTCTGCTTACTACTTATTGCCGGCGTGAGACTTTATAGATCACTTTTACCCGTCGCGCATTTTTAATTTCTTTCGTGAATTGGCGTGAAAAGGACATTAGCAGGACCCTCGACTTCAAGATCCAAACATTTCTCTCTATTTTGTTTTTCTATATATGCACGGCTTGGTTTAACGCTCACCATAGGGAAAACCCTTTTGGCCGCAGTTCAAATGTAAATTGCTCATGGATTTATACATCATATATTTCCCTATACATCTTGAAACTAATGTTTTCCATAAATCAAATGACAGTCATATATTGGCTAATAGATAAAGCTCTATTCAAATTTTCATTGTCGATTACTTCTCAAGGCAGGGAAAGCTTGAGGGTCTAATCGTTGAAAATTTGCATTCGGTCAAAATTGCCAAACCCAATTATATATACTTCGTTATAGAGACAACCGGACCTGATTTGGAGATAATATTTCTATCGTCAAACTGGAAAAAGAAAAAAAAGATCGGATATCCATATATGCAGGATGAAATATACTCGTTAAACCTTGAGATTATAAAGAAATTAGTGGGGATATTTTATGGAAATTAAAGTATCATTGGCAAATTGACGGTGTACTGGACCCAAAAAAAAAAAAAAAGGAATGGCATGAGTTATCTGTTTTGAAGAGAGAAAGTAATTATATGCTCGAGCACGATGAAACATGAGCAGTAGAGTGGGATATAATGAGAGATTGGAACGGGAAATGGGAGAGAGGTGGGGTTTCAGAAAAGGGTCCCAATGCCGGCCATTTGTGAAGTCTGGGATAAGCGCCCCAGATATTGGTCTGGACTTGGGATCCCAAGATTTCGCAGTATCCACCATCCTCGGGTGATTTTCCTATTTTGGGGGATGCAAGCATGCAAAAGCAATTAGAGTTTATTATTTTACCCGGTTTTTCTGTGGGGGGGGGGGGGGGGAGGGGCGGGGTATGAAGCTTATTGCAAGCAGCATGGCTAAAAGTCCGATGATCTGACCTTCTCAGATTGTAAAAATAAATGTCGCTAAAATGGTTTTAGCATGCGGTGTGGATTCCGCTATTGACAGTAAATATGTGAGAGTGCGGAGATGAAAATGACAAAGTGAATGTGCAGAAAGTGGAGGACCCAGCCGGATTGCTTGGATTTCACCACATGATGACTGATATATTTTCAGGAGTCAGGACCACATCCACAGCCTACCCGTGCACCTTTCTTTTTCTTCTCTGCGACCCCCCAACATGCAATAATTTCACCCTTTCATCAGTACTTTGTTCTCTTCCTTCCTTCTCTTCACCTTAACGTTTGCCACTCCCTCCACCTTGCTACCGAGCTATTTCTGTGTGTTTAATTAACCAACAACAGCGAGTCTATTATCTATATATATGGCATGGACAGCAAAGCCGAGACCAAAACATGCTGTTTTGGCCCCTGTATAGTTGAGATGTGATAACGTTTGAGATCACGCGGCCGTAAATATTCTCATTTACATCTCAGCCTAATTAAGTGCATATTTTACTGTACAGTGTGATGCTGTGATCTAACTTTTAAGCCGTATGTATGCTGCAGAGATGACATGATGATGTGGGGCATGTACGGGGCAGAGGGCCAAGCTTTAAAAGTTAAAATAATTTTTTTTTTTTAAAAAAATAAAGGTCAAGAGGGGAGACTAACACGCACTCTCTCATGGGACATAATTGCATCCTGTTGTCACGGATGATATTTCCGTGACCGTGTAAAGACCAAGATAATGAACGGTCCGCTGGTTAGCCTCGCACAATATGGGTAAAGGGGGCGACATTAGCATTGGGGTGTTCTGCCTCAGTCTTCGGACTGTGTGCACAACTGGTCGGGGGCTAGTGCCGCCTCCCTGATGAGCCCATGGCAGGGCAAACCAGTGTGATCCGTACGTGGTAAGGCTTGTCCTGAGGATTATGGGGTCCTCCAGGACGCCGCACGGGCGCCGTGTGCTGCGCCAGACTCTCAGCCCGTGACAGAGTGGTATCAGAGCAGGACGTACTTTACTGTCGTGTGCGCGTGGGGTCCCACGTTGGGACTGGTCGGCCTCGGCACCGCTCCAGAAAGGCCTCCGAGCAGGTGGGTCCAAAAGTGGGGACTCTCGGGCGGGAAGGTTGGCCGTTGTCGACTCCACTCCTGTTGGCTCGCGGGTGCGAGTGGGTCCGAGAGTGCAGGACTCGGGTGGCCACTCAGCAAGTAAGCTGATGTGTTTGTGGCAGTACTGTATGTACGATCCTTGGGCGGAGTCGTTCTCCTAATTATTCATACATGCCTTTTATCCAATTTTTTTATGTTGAAAGCCAATAAAAAAATGGCAATTGTATATCATAATTCATGAAAAAATTAACAAAACTTTAGTACTATTTGGATAAAAAAAAAAAATTAAATTATTAGAAATAAAAAAAATTAGAGGCATTTACTTAAACAAAAAAATATTATTACGAAAAAAATGGTAGAAAAAAAAAATATTTCTTAATTACCTAGATGAGAATTTAATTCACATTATTAAAAATATAAAAAAATAGATATAATTTGGTCAGTTTAATTTATTTAATTTAAAAAATTTTAGATTAAATCAAATTGATCAATCAAATTTTTTCATAAAAAAATCAAATCAAACTAAAAAATAAAATAAAATAAATCAAGTAAATAAAATTTAATTTGATTCGGTTGAATTTAGTTTTGCTAACCCTAGAGAGATTGATAATGAATGTGTATATGGACAGCACTGCGACCAACGTGCCTTCTTGTTGCCTCTGCCATCTTCCCAATTATTTATACCTATGTACGTTCCCTTCAACTCCCTCCGCTCTCCACATGTTCCCCGTCACTCTCAACAAGTTCCTAATCAATCTCTCCATATGCCTTTTAGTTTCCTTGTATCTATACTGTTAATCGCTTAATTAATGTTTTCCATTCACCCTCGGCCTGCGCACCCAACCTAATGCCCTCTGTGCTCAGTTTCTCTTTTTTCTTTTCCACCAAAATCTCCTCAGTTTCGTTGTCCCAAAAAAAAAAAAAAAAGAGAATGCACTTCACTGGGCTATTTTAAACGACTTATTATTTCTCGGGACACACAGCTCAGTGTTATACTTTTGAAAGGAATGAAATTTGGGCCGTGGGGGGGGTTGATAATGGAACATATGTTTAATGTCCAAAGTCGAGGTCTTGGATTTTTTTTTTTTTGAATAAGTTGAAACATGCATAGTGCGTAGGGTAAGTACGATTAATTTGGTAGAAGGAAATAACATTAATTCAGGGCTAATGATGAATGTTTTTAATTTATGACTTCATAGGAAACATTCGATTCAACGAACTAAAAATCACTGCCTCAAGCTCTCTGTTCAAGCGGGCTTTGTCTTAACATCGTTGCACGTCATCGGTCCCCTTCCTCTTTAATTTCATTCCTTCCTCGGTTCTTTCTTAACGTTTTTTTTTTCTTTTAAATTTTTTTTCCCTCCAACCATTTTTCTGGACAGCTCATTAATTATCGTGATCTCTATACTTGAATGTGATGGAGCATCAAAACCAAGAGCTTTTAGGCATTTTAACCCTCAAAATTAAAATTTTATTTTTTTTTGTGGAGGGTTTACCCCGTATCGTATGTTTCTTTGGTTGAGTTGTGACTTGGGAGAAACCCAGGAAGCAATTATGGTGACTATTGAAAGCGGTGATAAACCAGCAGTGGCAGGGTGGCTTGGTGGAAATACCCTCTTCTTATTTGCATAAATTGAATTGTACCTTGCAACGAATCAAGTTTTCCCTTACCAACAGGGTTCAAGTGTAATGAAAGAGAGTAGTTGCTTATAATATCAGTGAGATATCCACATTTAGCATTCGACTATGCTTACAATAAAACGGTACATGTGAGCACTAAAAAAGGTTTTCCCTTCAAAACTTTATTTATTACTCATTCTTCTGTTGTTTTGTTGTACCCTTTGGCGAAACCTCTGGTGATCATAAATCAATGGCATTTGATGCATGATTATTTCTAGTTATTTATATTAATATTAGGATTTTGATATGTAAAGTCAATTCTTTCGCTAGAGTTGTTAAAATAACAGCAAGAGCATGACTTCCATACTTTTTAATAAAAATAATCGAATAGCCGAGTGGCGAAAACCCTTCACATTTGAGGAGCGGGACAAGGTTGGTAGCCCAGTCCGTGTTGGTCTTGCAGCAAGGAACACGCAAAATTTGCAAACTCCAGACAGTTTAGCATCCTTGGAATATAGTGTCTCCAGCAGAGAGCAGGGAAGCATTGAGATGCATATCTGTTGAATGATATTCTTCTTCCACCAACATATTAAGCCCGAAACACTCTTTGTCACGATTGATAATTGGATCGCACTCCCTTTCAAGTTCCGAAGATGTAACTCCTCCTTTTCAGCACCCAAATCATCACGAGAGGACTGCGTGCTTGAGCTGACCGTTCGCTGAAACTCCCAAAACCTTGAATTCCTCTGGATAGTTTCCGAGCACGGTCTTGCTCTTCCTTAAGAAGAGGTCCTTCTTCCTGCAGCATCAATATACTGGAAAGCTTTTCATCTGATTAATGACAACTCTGTCGCTCTAGAATTCCACAGCAACGCAGGCCCGTGTGTCAGTAGGTGCTCCAGGACTATCAGAGAATTGTGAGATGCCCTCCAATTCTTCTTTTCAAATTTCAGCAATCTGTTTGGGAACAATGCCTGTCAGCTACCCATGATTACTCACTGCCGAAATTAAAGTTGAGATAAAATGAAAA